AGATTGCCACGAATTTTCAGGTCGATACTAGGCTTGTTTAAATTTTTTGGAATTTTTTTAGATTCTAAGAAGTGTGTTTATTTAAATAAAGGGGTGGTTCCCGTGGCCCTATGTCGATGATTATTTTTTTCTAGCTTCAAGGAACCACGAGAGCCATTGCTACGAATTTTCAGGTCGATGCTAGGTTTGTTTAAATTTTTTTGAATTGTCTAAATTTTAGAGGGTGTGTTTATTCAAGAAAAGGGGTGGTTCCCGTGGCCCTATGTCGATGATGATTTTTTTCAAGCTTGAAAGTACCACGAGAGAGATTATTATAAATTTTCAGGTCGATACTAGGCTTGTTTAAATTTTTTGGAACTTTTTTAGATTCTGAGGGGTGTTTATTTAAATAAAGGGGTGGTTCCCGTGGCCCTATGTCGATGATGATTTTTTTCAAACTTCAAGGTACCACGAGAGAGATTATTATAAATTTTCAGGTCGATAATAGGCTTGTTTGAATTTATTTGAATTTTTTAAGGTTTTAGAGGGTGAGTTTATTCAAGTAAAGGGGTGGTTCCCGTAAGCCAATGTCGATGATGATTTTTTTTTAGCTTGAAGGTGTCACGAGAAAGATTGCCACGAATTTTCAGGTCGATACTAGGCTTGTTTGAATTTTTTTAGATTCTGAGGGGTGTGTTTATTTCAATAAAGGGGTGGTTGCCGTGGCCATATGTCGATGATGATTTTTTTCTAGCTTCAAGGAACCACGAGAGGCATTGCTACGAATTTTCAGGTCGATACTAGGCTTGTTTGAATTTTTTTGAATTTTGTAAGGTTTTAAAGGGTGTGTTTATTTAATTAAAGGGGTGGTTCCCGTGGCCCTATGTCGATGATGATTTTTTTCAAGCTTGAACGTACCACGAGAGAGATTATTATAAATTTTCAGGTCGATACTAGGCTTGTTTGATTTTTTTTGAATTTTTTTAGATTCTGAGCGTGTGTTTATTTCAATAAAGGGGTGGTTCCCGTGGCCCTACGCCGATGATGATTTTTTTCAAGCTTGAAGGTACCACGAGAGAGATTATAAATTTTCAGGTCGATACTAGGCTTGTTTGAATTTTTGTGAATTTTTTAGATTCTGAGGGGTGTGTTTATTTCAATAAAGGGGTGGTTCCCGTGGCCCTACGCCAATGATGATTTTTTTCTAGCTTGAAGGTGTCACGAGAAAAATTATTATAAATTTTCAGGTCGATACTAGGCTTGTTTGAATTTATTTGATTTTTTAAGATTTTAAAGGGTGTGTTTATTTAATTAAAGGGGTGGTTCCCGTGGTCCTATGTCGATGATGATTTTTTTTAGCTTGAAGGTGTCACGAGAAAGATTGCCACGAATTTTCAGGTCGATACTAGGCTTGTTTAAATTTTTTGGAATTTTTTTAGATTCTAAGAAGTGTGTTTATTTAAATAAAGGGGTGGTTCCCGTGGCCCTATGTCGATGATTATTTTTTTCTAGCTTCAAGGAACCACGAGAGCCATTGCTACGAATTTTCAGGTCGATGCTAGGTTTGTTTAAATTTTTTTGAATTGTCTAAATTTTAGAGGGTGTGTTTATTCAAGAAAAGGGGTGGTTCCCGTGGCCCTATGTCGATGATGATTTTTTTCAAGCTTGAAAGTACCACGAGAGAGATTATTATAAATTTTCAGGTCGATACTAGGCTTGTTTAAATTTTTTGGAACTTTTTTAGATTCTGAGGGGTGTTTATTTAAATAAAGGGGTGGTTCCCGTGGCCCTATGTCGATGATGATTTTTTTCAAACTTCAAGGTACCACGAGAGAGATTATTATAAATTTTCAGGTCGATAATAAGCTTGTTTGAATTTATTTGAATTTTTTAAGGTTTTAGAGGGTGAGTTTATTCAAGTAAAGGGGTGGTTCCCGTAGCCCAATGTCGATCATGATTTTTTTTTTAGCTTGAAGGTGTCACGAGAAAGATTGCCACGAATTTTCAGGTCGATACTAGGCTTGTTTGAATTTTTTTGAATTTTTTTAGATTCTGAGGGGTGTGTTTATTTCAATAAAGGGGTGGTTGCCGTGGCCATATGTCGATGATGATTTTATTCTAGCTTCAAGGAACCACGAGAGGCATTGCTACGAATTTTCAGGTCGATACTAGGCTTGTTTGAATTTTTTTGAATTTTGTAAGGTTTTAAAGGGTGTGTTTATTTAATTAAAGGGGTGGTTCCCGTGGCCCTATGTCGATGAAGATTTTTTTCAAGCTTGAACGTACCACGAGAGAGATTATTATAAATTTTCAGGTCGATACTAGGCTTGTTTGAATTTTTTTGAATTGTCTAAGGTTTTAGAGGGTGTGTTTATTCAAGTAAAGGGGTGGTTCCCGTGGTCCTATGTTGATGATGATTTTTTTCTAGCTTGAAGGTGTCAAGAGAGAAATTATTATAAATTTTCAGGTCGATACTAGGCCTGTTTGAATTTATTTGAATTTTTTTAGATTCTAAGGGTTGTGTTTATTTAAATAAAGGGGTGGTTCCCGTGGTCCTATGTCGATGATGATTTTTTTATAGGTTCAAGGTACCACGAGAGAGATTATTATAAATTTTCAGATCGATACTAGGCTTGTTTGAATTTATTTGAATTTTTAAGGTTTTAGAGGGTGTGTTTATTCAAGTAAAGGGGTGGTTCCCGTGGCCCAATGTCGATGATGATTTTTTTTTAGCTTGAAGGTGTCACGAGAAAGATTGCCACGAATTTTCAGGTCGATACTAGGCTTGTTTGAATTTTTTTGAATTTTTTTAGATTCTGAGGGGTGTGTTTATTTCAATAAAGGGGTGGTTGCCGTGGCCATATGTCGATGATGATTTTATTCTAGCTTCAAGGAACCACGAGAGGCATTGCTACGAATTTTCAGGTCGATACTAGGCTTGTTTGAATTTTTTTGAATTTTGTAAGGTTTTAAAGGGTGTGTTTATTTAATTAAAGGGGTGGTTCCCGTGGCCCTATGTCGATGAAGATTTTTTTCAAGCTTGAACGTACCACGAGAGAGATTATTATAAATTTTCAGGTCGATACTAGGCTTGTTTGAATTTTTTTGAATTGTCTAAGGTTTTAGAGGGTGTGTTTATTCAAGTAAAGGGGTGGTTCCCGTGGTCCTATGTTGATGATGATTTTTTTCTAGCTTGAAGGTGTCAAGAGAGAAATTATTATAAATTTTCAGGTCGATACTAGGCCTGTTTGAATTTATTTGAATTTTTTTAGAATCTAAGGGTTGTGTTTATTTAAATAAAGGGGTGGTTCCCGTGGTCCTATGTCGATGATGATTTTTTTATAGGTTCAAGGTACCACGAGAGAGATTATTATAAATTTTCAGATCGATACTAGGCTTGTTTGAATTTATTTGAATTTTTAAGGTTTTAGAGGGTGTGTTTATTCAAGTAAAGGGGTGGTTCCCGTGGCCCAATGTCGATGATGATTTTTTTTTAGCTTGAAGGTGTCACGAGAAAAATTGCCACGAATTTTGAGGTCGATACCAGGCTTGTTTGAATTTTTTAAGGTTTTAAAGGGTGTTTATTTAAATAAAGAGGTGGTTCCCATGGCCCTACGTCGATAATGATTTTTTTCTAGCCTTTGGTTAGCACGAGGAAGATTCTCTCGAATTTCTAGGACGATATTACCCCTGATTATGTTTCTTTGTAGTTTCTACACCTTTACAGGGTAAGTTTATCTAAGTGTAGGGGTTAATTTCGGGTTTGTCAGCAAAATATAATTTTGTCTACCTTTTTGTAACCGCTGGTAAGCTATGTGATGATTTCTAGCGAGATGCTAGCCAATCATTGAATTTTTTTTTTATATTTTCGTTTAAAAAAAAAACGTTTAGAACTTCAGGTACATAACACAGGAGCTTTATTTTTCCTTAATAACAAACGAGTGGTTTTTGTTTCAAACTTCTAGGACAAATATTTTCTGAGCTATGAATTATTTTGTAAATCCCTACAATTGCAAAAATAAGCATGTGCAGCGAAACAAAAATGGCCGCCAAAGGCAAAGGGTGTAAGATAAAATAATATAAAAATGGTTTTAGGGCCGGTCCTAAGACATAAAGGAGACCTTTAAGAAAGTTTAAATTTTTTAAAAAATGTCAAGTATCCATTTATTTTTTTCTTGATCACTTCTAATGGATTGACCAGGTGCTAAATCTAATCCTACATGCTTATTACTTAAAAAGATAAAGGTGAGCTCTTTTGAAATTTGTAAGTATTTACTTCTCCTTTGTTTCAATCTACTCTTAGCAAAATAAATAAATTTCCTGATATTTAATTTTAAACAAAAATAAAAAATTGTTTCACTATTAAAATTTGATATAAATTATATTCCTTATATAAATAAATAAACAAACAAACAGTGTTTGTACCCCCTTTAAATTTAAAAATAACAAACTGCAATAGTCACGTATTCTTGTAGTTGCTATGTTGTCTCAGCCACTCTAGAAATGCTACATTTGAAATGTACCTCATTGAGCAGAGCGAGTAGATTTTTTGGTCACATGACATCGAGCAAACCATATCAGTGGAGCAAACGGAGCAAAAACGGCAGTATTGAGTAAAAAAAAAGCAAAATGAGGTAGGTACTTTTCAAATGCAGCAAAAGAACTTTTGTCCCTTAGGTAGAGATTTTTATGCAGTTTAAAAGTTTAGATTAATAATTATTCCTTTTAATAATGGAACATTAAGTTTTTTTGTGTACCTTTACACAATTAGAATATAATTTTAAGCTGTTTACAATAAAACTATAAAAACTAGTGTTGGTTTTACTTCTTAAAATACTGTAATTCAAGGTGCTAAAAATCATAATGCTGAAGGTTAGTGAGTTGAATTGTTGAATCAAATTTCCAAGGTTGTAACAATGTTTTGAAAACAAAGAATTTCAAAAATTAAAGTAATTATGGCTTGGTTAACAAAATAATGTTATATTAACATCATCTAATGACCTCACATCAATGTCACTTACCTGAAGCTTCATTGCCATAATGACTATGGTTGTTTCTTGCTCCTGGACTCAGCTGAGGGTTTTTCGGGTAACTATGCAAATGATTTGGCTCTTTAGGACTACCATTGGGAGGAACAAGGCATTCACTAAAAATTAACAATCTACTAAGAAAAAGAAAAAAAATATTACGTCAAGGACTCACCGTCTTGTAAAATTAGTTTCATATTCTCTATTATACTCTTTAGGGTATCTGCTTGGCCATTTTTGGTGATTGTGAGGATGATTTATAGGATGATTGGAACGATTCGGGTGGTTATTGTTGTGTCTGTTGAAATTAGAAGAATTTCTGCGATGTGGGTTGTGGTTATTGGAATTCATTATGGTACCTAAAAGCAAACAAGCTAATAATAACTACAAGCTACTAGCTAAATACTAATACTTACAGTATTTCAACACCAATATTGCTTTGAATAGTGACGAACAATAAAATTATTCAACAAAATCTATCACCATTCACAATAATCACTAATTATTGAGCAAGAGGGGAAACAGTCATTTCACTATTATACATCATGCTATTGATCCACAAGCATTTCGCAACTTTTGCGAAGGTATACAATCAAAACTTAATAATATTATTGCTGGATATATTTAAATGAGAAAAACACTAACAACAAGGTATTGATCTCTTAAATCGAAAAATTAGAGACGTAGGGCACCACTATTTTTTCGTTTTATTTATCTTGTGCTTATCTTTTCAGTGTAGCCAAATTTACAAATACTTGTCAACTTATACACTTACCACACCCGCCAAATTTGAAATACTATTTAACTTTAACGTCCTTTTTAAAATTTAATTTTATTAAAGTTTTAAACTAGTACGTTATAATATAAAATGAAATAACTAACTACTTGTATTTAATAAGAATATACATTTATATAAATTTAGTGAACTTATTAGATTTTTTTTTATTGACAATTAGTTTTGTCTCATTCTCACTCAATTGTTTGTGTGGTTATTGCATGCACACATAGTATTCTCACAAAAATAGTCTGCTCTTTCATTCATGGTAAAACAGTGAAACAGAAACTGAGTATTTATATTTAGTTTTATATTTTAAACGTAAAACTATTTAATTACTTGTTTATAATCTTTCTTTTATTTAGAGTTTCTTGATGTTACATGAATTACTTCAACGAGAAAAAACGAACAAACCTGCTTGAATCATTTGTCAAATGTCATCTAGAACTCGATAACTAGAATGTCAAATATGTCATTTTAAAATATTTGGTATTTGAATTTTAACGTTCGTTCGTTTATCAAGTTGTTCCAGAGGTGTTTACTTATTATATTCTTTCTCCATGGTTATTATATATTTCAAATAAAAATGTCTAATATTAAATCAAAGAAACAAGAACAACAAGTCGAGAGTTACCTGAAGAGGCTAAAAATACCTTCAAATTTTGAAAATGAAACAAAAGATTTAGTTAAAAAAATGGTTCACCATGAAGCTTTTGGAAAGCAGGAGTATGTTCCATATCTTTTTTTTTTTTTTTGTTAAAACCCATGTTATTTTTAGTTTCAAGTGGTCATTAGATAATTTTGAACTTGCATACAGATTAGGAAGAGGAAAATTTGGTCGAGTTTATCTGGCAAGAGAAAAAGTTACAGGTTTTGTTGTAGCTATTAAGACTCTATTCAAAAAAGAAATAGTCAAAGGACGAGTAGAACGACAAATCTTAAGAGAAATTGAGATCCAAAGTCACTTAAAGTAAGCTACTTTATAAATATTTAAAATGTTTACACTCAGAGGGACTTTACAAATCTGTTATGAATAAATATTTATTGCTTAAGCTATGCAATATTTTTTGTTTTATGGATAATCATTATTAAATTACGTATAAATTATACAAAATAGAAAATAGTATTAAAAGGCTCAAAGTAAGTACTGAGGGGTATTTCACACTGGGCAATACATTTATGTTTTATGGAATATTAGTGAGAATTATGTAAGATGGTAAAACTACTAGGTATTACAACTGCATTACTGGTAATATCTTAGTATTAAATGGAATTAAATGACCAATACTAGGAATTACATTGACGTTATTTTAAAGGCACAAGCATCAACATGCAATGTATATATTCATGACCAAACTTAAATCATTTAATGTCAATTTCCTGTAAAATGCAGTTATTTTGAGAGGGTATACCATATACAGTGCTGTCAAGATCACACCCTAACCAGCTACCAACTGGTAAAAGGCAACATTGATAGTACATCCATCCATGCTTTCCTGCAAATGTAAACACTATTTATTATTCACTCCCAACACAATCAAAGTGGAACTAATGGTTTGATCTGGCCAACACTATACAGGTTCCCGCTTAAAATTAATCTACATAAGGGGATTTTAGAAAGTGGTTAGAGACACAGATTTAGTTAAATAGGATAGTTAGTTATCCAGAAAAACTTAGTATGAAAAGATACCACATATCTTCAGGACCATTTTCGAGTTATTTAGAAAAATTGAAGTTTTTGGATTGTTTTTTGTTCTAGTTTTTTAGAAGAAAAAATCTTTATTGGGTAGTACTTAGGTCTCGTGCATATAAACAAAAAAATACTAATTATATTTCCCATGGTGGTTTTTCAGAGTACTTTCTTTTTGGAGCAATGTTGGGGTGTCTATGGATAATCATATGGTTCAGGGGTTCTGTATGTCATTTATAATGGCTAGCTCATTAATCCTTTATTGAATAGAATACATAAATACAAGCTAATTTGTTTATAAAAAAAAATATTTACTTGCATTTTAAGCGAGTAAAGATTTTTTAAATGTTTAATATAAGGGGTTGATTTGAGGGTGATTTACAGCCCTGCAAAATATTTTGAGATATACATTAATAATATCAAATTTATATAAAAAAAGTTTCATTTTATTCCAATTTAAGCAGGCCAAGATTTTTTAAGTATTTAATAAAAGGGCTGGATTTGAGGGTGATTTCCTGCCCGGCAAAATATTTTGAGATATACATTAGGTTGAGCACATGAATATTATCAAAATATTCTGATATATACATCAAATAGAAGGCTTTAATACAAGCTAATTTGTTTATAAAAATATTAATTTACTTGCATTTTAAGCTAGTAAAGATTTTTTAAATGTTTAATATAAGGGGTTGATTTGAGGGTTATTTACAGCCCGGTAAAATATTTTGAGATATGCATTAGGTTGAGCACATAAATATTATCAAATTTATATAAAAAAAGTTTCATTTTAGTCCAATTTAAGCAGGCCAAGATTTTTTAAGTGTTTAATAGAAGGGCTGGATTTGTGGGTGAGTTCCTGCCCGGCAAAATATTCTGATATATACATCAAATAGAAGGCTTTAATACAAGCTAATTTGTTTATAAAAATATTAATTTACTTGCATTTTAAGCTAGTAAAGATTTTTTAAATGTTTAATATAAGGGGTTGATTTGAGGGTGATTTACAGCCCGGCAAAATATTTTGAGATATGCATTAGGTTGAGCACATAAATATTATCAAATTTATATAAAAAAAAGTTTCATTTTAGTCCAATTTAAGCAGGCCAAGATTTTTTAAGTGTTTAATAGAAGGGCTGGATTTGTGGGTGAGTTCCTGCCCAGCAAAATATTCTGATATATACATCAAATAGAAGGCTTTAATACAAGCTAATTTGTTTATAAAAATATTAATTTACTTGCATTTTGAGCTAGTAAAGATTTTTTAAATGTTTAATATAAGGGGTTGATTTGAGGGTGATTTACAGCCCGGCAAAATATTTTTATGATATGCATTAGGTTGAGCACATAAATATTATCAAATTTATATAAAAAAAGTTTCATTTTAGTCCAATTTAAGCAGGCCAAGATTTTTTAAGTTTTTTTATTTATTTATTTATTTATTTATTTATTTATTTATTTATTTATTTATTTATTTATTTATTTATTTATTTATTTATTTATTTATTTATTTATTTATTTATTTATTTATTTATTTATTTATGTATTTATTTATTTATTTATTTATTTATTACAATGCTCTACAGGCAATCCCAATTACAGAGCAGGAATAAAAGAACACATACATTATATAGACTAGTGGTACAAAATATACAAAAATTAGTAAACAGCTAGTAGGTAAAATACAATACAATTTTTTTTTTATGTTAGGAAATGACATTTTATTTCCCTGAGTTTGCATGAGTTTTAATAGAAGGGCTGGCTTTGAGGGTGAGTTCCTGCCCGGCAAAATATTCTGATATATACATCAAATAGAAGGCTTTAATACAAGCTAATTTGTTTATAAAAATATTAATTTACTTGCATTTTAGGCTGGTAAAGATGTTTTAAATGTTTAATATAAAGGCTTGTTTTGAGGGTAAATAATTTTTTGTAATTTAGATACATACGATTTATTACAGTTTGTTTACAATAAAAATAATTCTTCACGGCCCAGGCATGGATTCACAGCCCAGCCATGGATTGATTACCGCTGGCGCTTCGGTTCCCGCCGTCAAACTCACGGCTGGAACTCGTGGCTGTTGTCACGCCGGTGATGTTATTTAGATTTTTTCATATACTTCTACATATCATTTGATTTACATTTTTTTGCTACTTTGATATTGATTCCCTTTTTTGTAAGTTAAAGTTCAGCAGCTGGCTCGTACACTGTCTTTCTTTTTTGTTAGGTATTTTTGAAATTGATTTTTTGGTCTAGTTCTATTGCTAGATATTTACAATGTTGAGTGGGTTTTAGTGTATGATTTTGAATGGTTATGATCGGATAATTTTCTGTGTAGCTGTGGTTAAATATGATGAATTTGTTTTTGGAAGGATTTCTCTTGATTCTCCATTTATTCAAAGAGGAAATTGTGCTATTGTATAAACTTTGGAGTTTCATATTGTGAGCTATAAAGGCAGCGTTCTCAGTAAAGTAAAGGGTATATGAAGACAGAATTTGGTTATTAAAGGGAAGATATGTCATGGCAGAAAAAGTTATATAAAAATGGTGATCCTTGTGGAACTTTTTGTTCCATTGAGAAATATCTTGAGATGTTATATTTAACACATAATAGATAGATAGATAGATAGATAGATAGATCTTTATTTAATTTAGGAAACCCTAATGTTATTAATTAAAAACAGTTTTAAAATTCTGAATAAAAACATACTAAAATTATAATAACAATTGGCGATTTGCTAAGGATTAGGTTATTAGATGGGCAATTGGCTGAAAATAGTTTGTACAGTAGGCTTGTATGTGTGTCACACACTATCAAACGTTTTACTTATGTCCATAAAAATTGCAACCAATGCTTTTCCTTGGCATTTGAAACCAAATTGATGTTTTGGAATATATTCTCCTCCAGCTGTTAATAATTTTTTTTTAATACTTTACCTAAAACTGGTAGTAGCGTTATTGGTCAGTGGTTTGTAACTTCATCTATTAGTGCTAGGTTTATTATAGGTGGGTTCCTTAAGAGTTTTTCTGTACCAGTCATTAATTTTTTCTTGGTGGTAATTGTCAAAATGCATATCTTCAAGGACTTTATGGTTGATTCAAAATTATTGGCAAATATATCTGCAATATCTTGTGGAGAAGTATACCAATGTCCATTTTCTTCTAGAGAAGTGGTGCTTGACTGTTGTTTGTAACAGTATAGTTTCTTGATCTCTTGTCTGATTTTCTTTTCCACTTGAGTTGTTGATTTGTGTACAGGATTCCCGCCATTTTTGAGTTTTATACTGAGAAACTAGCAATATGTTTTTGTTCACTTTGTTGAATTTTGTTTTGACTTGGGGTTGTTCTAATTTCTTTGTAAAGGCTCGCTTTGATTTGATGAATTTTAGGAAGTTCGAATTTAAAAAAGGATTTGGCCTTAGTTGGGGGTCCATTCTGTAACAATTCCTTTATCCGTTAAAATATTGGCGGCCTTTAAAAATATTTTCGAATGCGCAAATTTACTTCTGCCATTATTTAAACGGATTTCTTTAAGATAGTCCTTTAATGTATTTTAAAGGAATCCGTTTAAATAATGACAAGTAATTGAATAAATACGAAAATATTTTTAAAGGCCTTCAATATTTTAACAGATAAGAATAGAATAGACCCCTTTGGGTCTATTCTGTAACAATTCCTTTATATTTAACGGCCTTTAAAAATATTGGCGGCCTATAAAAATATGTTTGTATTCGTTAATTTACTTCTATCATTATTTAAACAGATTTCTTTAAGATAGTCCTCTAATGTATTTTAAAGATCCGTTTAAATAGTGACCGAATTAAAGAAGAAAATATTTTTAAAGGCCGTTAAATATAAAGGAATTTTTACAGAATAGACCCCAAAGGAATTGTTACAGAATAGACCCCTTGGTGTGTTTGATAAAACTATTTTTTGTACATGTTCAATGAAATTTTATATTTTAGATAGAATAAGTTCTGGATTGTCATTTATGTATAATTTCAAATTTTTATTTATGATTGCCATATCACATTTTTGAAAGATATGTTTAAGTTGTGACTATATTTAAAGGCCTTCTATCCAGATTTAGTGTTATAGTCTAAGATCCAAAGTAAGGTCGACATTCACCCATCTGTTTAATGGATGAATTTTTTTATTAAATAAAATGTGTTGACTTAGAAAATACTGTCAAGACTATTAAAAAAAAAAAAAATGACACCCAGATGCTTCAACTCTGTCCAAAATTTAATCAGCTCAATACAGGATGGATTAAAGCGTAAGTTTAAAATTTGGTGTTTTTCTCTTTATCTGTTTTTGAGTTATATTCGAAATTTGCACTTTTCCTTAAATATCTCGAATACGGTTCATTTTAGGGAAATCATGTATAGGATCAAAATTATAGAGAATGCAACTTTTATCAGGATTCCTATACTTTCCTTATCTGTATACAGAAAGAAAAGTAAAAAATAGCCATGACAGTATTTTCTTAGGCAACCCATTTGCGGTATATTTAGAAACATATTTTATTTAATAAAAAAAAACTTTCATCTGTTAAGCAGATGGGTGAAGGTCGACTTACTTCACAAAATTACATCGCGGGCATTTCCTGGCGTCAGATCCCTGTATACTTCACCCCAATATACATCTCATTTTAAATTGTCCCTTGCAATGGTCGGAACTTTCATAAAAAATATAATTGCACAATACACAAAAAATGTGAAATGTTTTCTGAACAAATCAACAAAAGTTAATGTAGTTATTTCTCAATTTGACTATAATTACCACAATAAACACGTAGTGAAAACAAAATTATATTTTTTCAAATTCAAATTGGTAACGAGTTTTGTGGAATAAACCATGAAGTTGATTTTTTTAAATATTGAGCTGAATAATTAGCATAAGTACCAAATTACTGCTCTGATGAGTTTTGAATTAGATTACAAATTTGAACCAAATATTCCATTTTTATTATTTTTTAGACACCCAAACGTTTTACAGTTGTTGGCTTATTTCCACGATTCACATAGGATTTATTTGGTATTAGAATATGCTGGAAGAGGTGAACTTTATAAACATTTGAAGGCATCTGAAGGTGGCAGATTTAATGAACATCTGTGAGTATTTTATTACGTAACATTTTTAGAGTGTCATGAATGCACATTAATTGATTATTTAAATTTCTCTAGCTTAGTAAGACTTTATACAACATGAATAAAAAAAAATCTAATAAAAACTGTTTATCTTTACTTTTTATATTATCCTAAACCCTAAATTTGTAATGTTAACCTTACAAGTATTACAATTATTATGCAAGCATTATTGTAAGGAATTGTACAAAATCAACTCTTGTATATGAGATGTCAAGAAACATCTTATAGAGTTAGTGTAAAAATAAGCCTTATCGAGAAATATCAGAAGGTATAACAAAAAGGGAATATGTTGCATATATTATATTTTCAATAAAGCATTTAACAGTGTTTAAATTGTAAGATGCAGAAGAGTTAGGGTTACAGATATATATTTAGCCATTTTTGATTACTATTGGCATTGATTACTTTTACATCTAATTCCAACTTTTCTTTCTAAACTATTATTCAAATCTTCTTAATTTAATTCTACTGTTTTTTTATAGATACCTGTGTATATTGTTTTTTTTTTTTTTTTTTTTTTTTTTTAATTGTGATTTCGATATTTTTTTTTAAATAGGAAAAATAATGTAACTATTTTTCGTGGTATTTCTCTTTGTAACTAAATATTTTTTATACACGAAAGACACTGGTGCAAGTTGAAATATTCAGAGCACCCCAAAAATTTAAACAATCTGTATCTCAGAAACGAAGCATTTTTCGACCTATGTTTATAGGAACTTGTTTAACAAAATCTTTCGCACTTATTTATAAACATTCTGTATATTCATAATAATAATAATGCTTTATCAGTTTTAATTAGGTATATTGCTCTATCAGTTTAAATTTTGAATTTTGTTGCTTTTATTTTTAAAATATAGATTTATTTAATTTATAATTGGAACACTTTTAGGTCAGCAAAGTATATATATCAGGTAGCAGATGCCATAAATTATTGTCATCAGAATGCAGTAATACATAGAGATATTAAGCCTGAAAATCTTTTATTAACTATTACTGGAGACATTAAACTTGCTGATTTTGGTTGGTCCGTCCATGCTCCTTCCTTCAGTAGAGTTACTTTGTGTGGTACTTTGGACTATTTACCTCCAGAAATGGTTACAGGCAAAGAGTATAAGCAGTACGTTGATCATTGGTGTTTAGGTAAGAAAAGTAATAAATACAATCAACATATTATTTCTTTATACAATATTTCTAGTTAAACATTTTAAAATGGATAAATGTTATTTGAATATCTTTAGGAATGTGTTAACAAAGAAGAATATAAAAAAAATATCTAAATAATATATATTTATTTATTTATTTACGGGTTAAAGCCCATTTTAGGGGGCGTCCATTAATTACGTGAGGTATTTTTAAGGATTTTTTGACTCCCCCTCCCCCCCTGGCGAGATTTGGTAAGATTTTCCTTAACTCCCTCCCCCCTTCCCTAATCTCACGTGAGATTTTTCAAAATTCGTGTTTTAGGTGTAAATGTGTTGGATTATTAAAAAAAAAAACAGTAGAGGTGTGTAATGTGACACTTTCCAACCTTCAATGACGTTAGTAATGACAACATTACATATATGGTTGTAAATAAACATAATTATAAGACTTTTCCATATTTTATTCTAGAAATACTTTTACTATAATTTAACTTTACTTTCACGCAATTTTACACCGTTTTATACTAGAAAAAAAATTACGTGAGATTTACGAAAACCCCCCCTCCCCCCTAAGTGAGATTTAGAAAGATTTAGTTTTATCCCCTCCCCCCCCTTGAACACCTCACGTAATTAATGGACGCCCCCTTACAGATTAGTATATACAGATCCATAACAAATGTAAAATGACTGACATTACAGCCAGTTATAAACTAATAATTAAAAAAAGAAATATAAATAAAAAAAAAAAAAAATAGAAAAAAAAAATTAAAAATATTCAACAATTACATATTAACTTTATTATTAGCTTTTTATGGCTCTTTTAAAAGCACGAAGAGAATTATTTATTTATTTATTTATTTATTTATTTATTTATTTATTTATTTATTTATTTATTTATTTATTTATTTATTTATTTATTTATTTATTTATTTATTTATTTTTTTATTTATTTATTTACGGGCAAAGTCCAATTCAGTTTACATACACTAAATACAATATAAAATAAAAAATACAATAAAATAGAATAGTGATTTCATAAAAATTAAGTAAAATATAGAATAAAATGGTTAGATAAAACAGTGGACATTAATGTACAGAACAGCAATTAAATTATAATGTGTATAAATGAAAAGTATGGAATTGCTTGAGACGTTCAAATATTCAGTGTAAGTGGTTCTTAAATCCTTGAACAGAACTGTCAAAAAGTAGAATATCATAAAGAGAGTTAAGTGTTCTAGGAATAAAATTAATTAAACGCATATTTGTAACGGTGAAAAGGTACATGGAGTAACGGTGAAAAGGTACATGGAATGTTTGAATTTGTCTAGTAGTATGTGACGGCACAAAAAGATTAATTCTGGAAAGGAGGTCTGGGCAATTAACCTGCCATTGATAATATTGGACAGTATGGTAAGATCTTTTCGTTTCCTACGAACTTCCAGAAAAGGTATGCTTAAATATTGTTGCAATTCCGCATAATTGTAGTAAATGTTAAACTTAAATGTTATGTATCTAAGAAAATTATTTTGAACTCTATCCAGTTTACTTTTATGAATTAAGTAGTGTGGGAACCAGACTGAGGAGCAATAATCAAGTTGTGCCCTAACTAGAGAGAAGTATAGCATTTTAATTGTGTTTATATTAGTGAACTCATGAGTTGTCCTCTTGACAAAGCCCAGCATTTTCATTGATTTTTGAACTGTAGCAGTGATATGGCCATTAAAGCTCATGGAAGAATCAAAGGTGATCTCTAGATCCTTGATTTGATCGACAGGGTCCAAAACATGTTGAAATAAACTATAATTATAAGTTATTAAATTATGGCTGCGACAAAATCGAATGTGACATTTGTTAGTATTTAGATCCATGCCATTACTAGAGCACCAACTTTCTAGTTTATTTAAATCCGACTGCAAAATCTGAGTGTCGGCATTATCATGAATGATCTTGAAGCATTTCAAGTAATCTGCAAACAATAGGGCTTTAGTGTTAGGAAAGCAAGTTGTGATGTCATTAATAAACAGGTCGAATAGTAGTGGTCCTAAGTGAGACCCTTGAGGGACACCCGAAGTTACTGGGGAAATTTGCAGGGTTTCGGAGGATATATATATCAAGTGATATATATCACGAAATATATCATGATATTTATATCTTGATATATATCCGATATATTCGATAATTTTATTTATTAAATTAAAAATGTTTTACACTATTCTGAACATCCGAAAATGTCTCAATACGCCCCTGTATAAAAGTATAATAACTAGCGATTAATATGTGTTTGTGTTAAATATTAATGGTCACAAAATAATGTTAAAATCTGTTAATTTTATAAATTATTTTTGTTTTTTCTTTTTAATTTGGGTTAGAATAAACGGTTTTGTTATTTAGAATATAAGTTTTTGTTAATATGTTTGTGTTAAAATTTAAAATATAGTTTGTTACCGTTTTCAATTAAATAATTAAATTTTAAAACTGATATATATGCGATATATCAGATATATATCATGTGATATGATATTTATATAAATATCATGATATTTTCGAACCCTGAAAATTTGGGAATAATGATGATTTACTCGAACCTGTTGAGTCCTATTTGTTAGATAACTACCGAGCCACTGTAATTATGGACATTTTGTCCGTAGTTAGTGTGATGAAAAATTATACAAAATAGTTCAACATTCCACGTACGTCTTTCATTTACATTGAAAAGTAACAAGTTCAATTGTTTAGAATTGGATATAACACCATTTAAAATTTTACATGAAAAACATAAGTCGAATACTATTCTCCTGTGCTCAAATGTTTGCATGTTTAATTGGAGAAGAATATTTTCCCAATTAATATCTATTCCGTTTATGCCCATTGATTAATGTAAACATAATTGCGGGACCAAATAGAGCAGCAATATTCTAAGTTAGACCTGACCAAAGTCGAGTACAGCAGTTTAAATGTGTTAATAGAAAATTGTCTACTGTTCCTCTGAATAAATCCTAACATTTTAAATGCCTTAGAGGTTATTTGACTAATGTGAGTGTTAAAGGAAAGCTTACTGTCCATATTAACTACCAAATCGCCAACATTGTCATTGGTTTGTAGCACACTATTATTAATTCTGTATGAATAGTGAACTGATGACATTTTTTAACATTTAAGTACAACACATTTACATCACACCAACGGAACAATCTAATTAAATCCTCTTGTAGTAACAAAGCATCTGTTTCATTGGAAACTGATCTAAATATTTTCACATCATCAGCAAACATGAGATATTTACTGTTAGAGATGACACTAGACAGATCATTAATAAATAAATTGAATAACAACAATATTTTAAGATATATTATTATAAACTTGTTTTATTTGGTATTTTAAGGTATTCTGTGTTATGAGTTTTTAACTGGAAACCCACCTTTTGAAAGTAAAGAACAGGAAGAAACTTACAAAAAAATTACAAGTGGCAATGTATATTTTCCTGATTATATGTCTGCAGGAGCCAAGGATCTGATTTCTAAGGTAAATGTTGAATTATAAATACATAATTATTTTATATTGACAATTGAAGACATAAGTGGATAAAGGTGTCATGTCACAAAAAGGATTATTTCAAGAAAAACAAGTTTAAACTTTTACAATTGCATTATGATATATGGCTTATGACACCTTCCTATCTGATGAATAGCCGTTATTTATCAAAATTGGAAATCAGAACTATCGCAAACAAAAAATATAGTATATTTTAAGTATATTAGGCAAAAATAATTTTTTTAGTAAATGTGACATGTCACTTTTATCCATTTGAGTCTTCAATTATTTTCTTTGGTTCATTTTTTTAATCAATTATTAAAGTATACATCTGTATGTTTCTTTTATGATTACCTACAAACAATTTCAATTCAGATCTAAATAATTCAAAATATTTATGATATGAAATTTTTAAAAGTGTCCAGTTTTAGATCAAAATAGATTGCAAATAGTTATAAATACACCCTTTTTGTCAAATTTTATTTTAATATTAAAAATGAATCCATCCCATCTTTATGCTTTCATAAATTGCATACATATCTAAATAAAGGGTGTACCACTATAAAGTAATACATTTTAATAGCTTATAACTCAAGAATGGAAAAAAATATCGACGTGTAGTTTTCGCTAAACTTATTAATTTGTTTTTTGTTGACATATTTGCCAAATTTATATTTTTTCCCTAAACTGCTGAAACAAATGAGTTTTTTAAACTAAATTATCGGTTTATTTTAAATAGAACACCCTATATTTTTTCATACCATCTGAAAAACAATATATACATTGTGATTATTTATTAAAGGTTTGGAGGATACATTTTTTTATGAATCTACTTCGAAAAAATATTATTCTAAGATTGTTATAGTTCTTCCATTATCAATTGCAGAACATAAAAACCCGTTCGGAACCTTTACCGACAATTTTGTTTGATCTGCCATAGGCGTAGATACCTACCTCATTTTATAAATTTATTTTATAAATACTTCTAATATATATCATATGCAAGAAAGTATTTGTTAAAAGGAAATCGAATCATTATAAATTGAACGTTATTGTATGCCTTAATTTAGACAGATGCACATAATTGTAGTCTTACTTGGACTTAAAAAAAATCATTATAGCTCGTTAACTTGCTACAACTGAATATTAAATTATAAAACGTAAAAAACCGAGTAAAGTGTACCTGCCTGTAAGGGCGTTTGGTTTAAACAGGGTACCAGACGTGAACTGAGCCCTTTTTGTACCCCATTCGTTTTTTTTTCTGCAAAACGAAATTTCAAAGCAAAAACCATAAAGGAAAATAAATTCTTTGCAAATAAAACAAAAGAAAAAAAAACAATTCAATTCTAAAGTATCTTTATAAATAATCATGGCAGTCTAAATCCTCTGAACTAGAGTCATCATTTGGTTGAATTATGATGGGTTGTAAAGAGGGTAATACTACATACTCATCTTCTTTATATTAACATGTTCGACACAGTTTTTCCAAAGCTCTTGGCGGTCTGCTGCTAGAACTTTCTTTACGAGTTCTACAACCTCTTTACTCAGTTCTGGAGACTGATTACAATTTCGTAATTCTGATTTTACGTTTGCCCATATTAACTCTAGGGTTAAATATGCAATAGTAAGGAGGTAGTCTGAGAAGAGTATGACCCTGTTCTTTGCACAGCTTGTCAATATAATAAATTTTTCACTTCATGCCTTTAATAACAGTAAGCAATTCTTTGTTTGTTGGGCCTTTTTTACGATCACTGGCAGGAATAGGAATATTTTTTTCAGACATAAACGCTAAAATTTGAGCTTTGTTACTGCTACTATTTGGTATTTTAAGGAGTTGCCGCGAGTGGTAGGATGCATTGTCCATAACGATTACTGACTGTGGTGGAATGTTAGGTAAAAGTTGTTCAGTAAACCATTTTTCAAATAATTCTGCTGTCATATCTTCATGATAATCAGCTGCACAGTTTTTAATTTGTTTAGCAGATAATAATAAAGCATTAGGCACGAAACCGTCTTTGCTTCCAGCGTGTACTATTATAATACGTTTCCCTTTAGAACATGGACCATTCAAACAGCAATTTTTACTACTGTCAACCCAACCGAAATTGACTACATCGTGACTGTCAAACCATGTTTCATCTAGATAAATTATGTGTCTTATTAGAACTTCTGTACTCTTTTATCTGACGCAAATAATCTTGTCGTCATTGAACTATCCTTGACGATTCGGTGATTGCCATCCGTTTATTCAATTTTTTGTGTTTAAAACCACATGCTGACAAAACTTGACGCACTGTTTCCAAACTGGTATAAGTGTATCCTGGAAAATCTGCTACCTTTTGCTGTATTACTTCCAATGTCGGAACCCTGTTCTCCTTATATAAACTATAAATTGTCCTTCGTATAAAATCTTGGGTAGCTCTGTCAACTGATTTCAGTTTTTCTTTACATATTTTTCGGTTTTGTGAATGATCCACAGCAACCCCTTTTGTGACTACGCGATAAATGGAAAATTTATTTACTTTAGTTAATTCAGCAATTTTTATTATGATCGCATTATCAGACTGCTGAATATTTTCCTTTTTTAAACATTCGAATATATTTAAAATAACTTGTTGTGTTTGTATATCTAAATCCTTATTGTTAAAGCCATACCTGTCTTTAATCTCACTACACTGTGCAATTTCATTTTCTTCATTCGCCCATGGTCTAAAGAACGCCATATTTATATTTATTAAAAGAAATTTAAATTAAACCAACCACACATACAAAACACACCGCACGACAGTACTCCACTGATATCGCAGAATTCGCAGACTGTCTTCCAGGAATATTTTCGAACACTCCGTAAACCTTCGGCCAATACAGTGCATTTAAGTTTACGATTCGATGTTTTCATTGGTAAACAACGGAGATGATGGATTTTGACACATATATATCAAGTACACGTGGACTGACCGTTCGTTTAATATTTACCGCATTGTATAAGGGGAGTAAACATTATTTTTCGTTCATAAATTTGGCATGAGTGCCGTGCGTATATATTAAATATTGATGATTCCCCACATAAATATGTTCTGCAATTGATAATGGAAGGACTATAAAATTTTCTGTTAAAGTTTATTTATTTTTTATAAATTTTTATGGGTTTTTTTCTGGTTTACTTCATATTATAAAAGATTAATACTCTTATAATTAACTGTGTCCTTTTTCCAAAGCCGCCTGACATATTAGACACCATTTTATCAAGGTGGTTTTGAAAAAATATAACTGACATTAAGAAACGTCAAATAATTTATATGAAGTAAATCAAAAATGAACACACTCAAATTTATTGATCGAAAATGTAAAAAATGCCGTTGTTTTCGGCAATTTCAGGAAAAAATATACATTTGGCAACTATTTCAACAAAAACTTAAAGCAAATGCAAGAAGTTTAGCAAAAACTTCACGTCAATATCTTTTTCCATTCTTGAGTTTTAAGCTGTTAAAATGTATTATTTTCTAGTGGGACACCCTGTATATTGTAGCCATGTATTCTGAATTGGCATCAGTGATACATTACATTTCATTAATATTCAGGTTAAACTTTCATTATTTAAACACAAAATAATTTAATGTAATTTTGATTTTGATTACTCATACACGAAAATAAATAATATTAATAAAAATAATAATAATAATAATAATAATCGACTTTACTGTTTTTAATAAATCTTGTTATCCCCCAAATGTAGCATTGTTATTGATTATCTTCTCTGAATTCCAATTTTCCTTTCTTATTACTATCATTGCCTTCCCGATAATTTTTTTAAAGCTATTGTTTCATTGTATTCAAATATAATTTTCAGTTTATATTATTCACACACTAATGATTAATTTTGAATATTTTTTTTATAGTTTCTAGAGCTTGTTTAACAACATTGATTATTTAAAACTTTCTTGTGAGCAAATGTTATTATTTTGAACAATATTACCTTAATTTAGTCTATTTGTTAGAAATTTGATCAAATCCATACTACTTCTCAAATACTCTTATCTACGTTTTTTTTTACATTTTTTCAGTTTGTAATTATACGTCCCTTTTTAAAACTGATGTAATTAGTAAGGACTATATCTGATACTCATTTCCAAGTAAAATTTACAAGCAATTAGAAATCTGTTTTAAGTTGCACAGGAATTTAAACAAATATTTCATTGTATTGTTTTATAAAATATAGGTAGAGGAGCATATGTCTGCCTCCCTGCCTGCTTATCCATAATAATTTTTTTTATAAACTTAAAAAATTAAAATGATGTAGGTATTTATAATATTTTATATAAACAAAAAATTCCTTGGTTTATTCGGTCATATTGCTAAAAAATAAAAAAATGAAAATAAAATGAAAAAAAAAAAAATAATAAATAAAAAAAACAATATGACCGAATAAACCAAGGAACAATTTATTTATATAAAATTCTACTGGTCAGGAAATTATCCTTATAAATATTTGTTTATGATTGTTGACTGATTCATCAGTAAAATGCTCCCTTGGGGGTGGCTTGTTCAGTAAATTATCTTACTATATCTGAATATTTTGAAGTAGTGTCTTTTGAAATGTATTTAATTTAAATTGTTTGTTTTTATAGCTTTTAGTTGCTAAAAGTGAGAAAAGACTGTCACTACCTGAAGTAATGCGTCATCATTGGGTTGTTGAACATAAAGACAAAAAGATTTCTTCCTAATGGTTTTAATTTGGTTTTGTTTTTAGTTAATTGACTGTATTATTTAAAATTGTCTTATGTGTATGCTTATTTAAAATATTAAAGTAGATAATAAATGTATCTTTATTATTCGTTTCTTTCTTCTAAGAGAGGGAGGGAGGGTGGTTTTATTACACAGCCTTAGACCTCCTAAGTCCCATTGTGCATCCTCCAGGGTATGTCCTGCCACTCAACTTGTCAAAACCTGCTGATTGGCTATCATTCGTTAAAATAAATGTTACTTTGTAACACGATACTGAAAAATCATGTCCGTGAAGTTAGCACTACCAGTTTGTAATTTTTCATTTTTGAATATTGGAAAATTGTCACTTTTTGGCGTGGAAAAAGAAAATTTGTCGCTCATCTTCTTTTCAAAATAACCCCTGGTAGTGCTAACCTCACAGTAAAGTTAGCACTACAAATCACCAGAATGAGCATAAATTACATTTTTTATATGAATAATTTGTCGTTTTTGTTGTAAATTTGTGGTAAAAATAAATTGTTACTTCTCCCCTTTTAATGCTAAGTTTACAGTAAATATCTTGGCTCAGAAATTTACGGATACCAGTAAAGTGTTAAATATACGAAATAATTTTTAGTGATCAATTAGTGCTTAAAAAATATTAAATGAGTTCAACAAGGGGATAAACCCCATGACCCCGGGCATAACGACTCTTTTAACAAAAATATTGGATGATGACATGATCTGAATGGATTTTTTTTAAATGGAACAGCTATATCACAAGCTAATTCTACTGTAAGTACAACTAATGAAAAAAAGAACGAGAACAATACACCCAAAAATGGAAGTGGAAGGAAAAAACCAAAATAGTTATTTATGTATAAACAACACAATAGCGGCTCATTTCCTAAGGCTATCCATGATTTTACTGACACAACTGCAATTAAAATCCTTTATTGTTCACTAGTCCGACCTCACCTAGATTATTACTCTTCTGTTTGGCCTCCATATTAGATAACGCACAGCAGAAACAAAGAAAATGTCTTTAGATACATAGCCTATAAATTATGATTTTATAGAGAATTTTCTGAACATCCCCTCTTTGGAAACTAGGAGGAAACGGAGACACCTAATATTACTTTTCAAAATTATCAATGGCAGATGCAGCTGTACTGAATTTCTAACAAAAATAAATCTTTATGTTCCAACGCACTCAACTCGACAGCAACAAACATTTTATGTACCTTTTTATCGTTTAAACCATACTTTGAGCAGCTGTATTCCAACAATGTTGTTAAGATTAGCCAACACTCGTAACGATCTTGAGATATTTAACACCCCCTTTCATAAATTTATAAAGCAATTACTTAGTACTGAACTTTGATTTTTAATGTAAATATTTTATTCAACCTTATTGTCTTTTTAAATCTTTTAAATTCTTTACCTATTTTAGTCTATATGTAATGAATTGTACCACGATTGTATTTGAGCACCATATATATTTCACTACATTTTAATTATAATTTTAAAATTGTAATTTATTTTTCAAATGGGCTTACCCGTACATAAATAAAAATTAAAATAAAATTTCATGTATATGTGGAAAATAATCAAGTTAAATTTACAGATAGAATAAATGCATTAAAAATAGGTGATTATTCTAATGAAGGACCACATACTTTTCTTTTGCAAACGGGAGTACCGTCAAAATGTCTCAGTTTTTGATGTTACATAATTTGATGTCCCTATCCTATGGCTAAGTTTTGTGATACAGGGTGTTGAAGTTATAAATCCCTATTTCTTTAAACTGACTACCAAAAATCAATTTTATTATTATTTTTGAAGTTATACATACTTAAATAATGTAATCAAAATATTGTCACTTACAGGGCGATTCATGATTCCGCAGATCATTTTCGGTCAAAGTAGGTATTTCTACCGAACAAAAATAGCTGAAATAACAAAAAAAATCAGCTCCAAAGTCTCTGAATATTTGATATTATATAGTTCTCGGTGTATTTTTTTGAAATTATTATTGGCATGACTAGTTTTCTATATACAACTTAATATGTACCTAATATTTATGAATTTTAAACAAGTATATACTGACATAAGGATATGTTCAAGAGAAATTCCGAAAATATATATATACCCCTTCTATTTGGAGCCAAACAAAAAATTTCGTTCTTACAGGGTATTCGCGGTTGAATAGGTAAGATGAAAAAGTCAACAATAAGTGTTGAAATTGTTGCCAAAAAATAGAAAATAATTGTCTTGTAAGTTGCACCTTGTTCATTAAAAATATCTTGACCTAATACCCTTAACCTTGGCATAAATTTAGTCTAATAGATCCCCACGAATTGATGTTAAAAAGACCCCCAGAATTACGTTTAGAGTTCAATGTAGCTGTAATGGAGGAAGAACAAAGTAAACACAAAGATTAATTTTGAATACTGTTTATTTAACATTTATTCTTTTGTACAGCCGGACATTTAGATTATGTGCCGTTTTTAGGCTTAACATTATGTAGGCTTTCCAATGTGTCATTTCTAACCTCAGAGCTTTTAGTTCCCATAAAAGGGCAAAATAAAAGTACGGAAGTACTTTGGTATATTTGTTTGTCTCCTAATATACAATCACACCTTTCCATGGAAATACTGAATAACGCATTGTACAATAAAAGAGTACAGCGGTAGTACGCTGAGTTCCGCGAGATATAGATTAATATATGTAATATGTGTAAAAACCGAAGTGTGTCACGCCTCTTACTACTATTCCATTGCCGTAATGTACTGATATACTCAGTTCTGTAAGGAAAACACTAAAATGATCGATCGTAGAACACCTGATATAAAGGGGGACGCCCGTCAGGCCCACTTTTGGGGTATTTCAGTAGAGATCTATCCTGCCTCTATCAGTCTTTAATTTACATAGCCGCAAGGGAAATACCATTTTCAGGCCCTTACTATTGAGGTCCCTGGCGGTGTATGGTGGCATAAGTTCTGAGGATACGTTAGGTAGTCCACAAACACAATTTCACCTATTTATTCTAAATAAATAACAAACATACCGACTACTTCCGCGTAATGTCCCGCTAAAGGTATGTGGATATGAACAAATGAATCCTACCCTCCTCAATATTAATGATTCTACTCGCCGCTGTACATATCCCCTTTTTCCAGAAAAATTGATATACAAAACTAACACCCCTTACGGCTAAAATGACACATTTGTCTACTCAATTTTGTTTTACAAAGTACGACAGAAACATATTTTTAACCGCAATCTAACTTTAAAATATACACAAATCAAGATATTGACCCTACTAGTCTACATCTGTTTGCCATTTAAAAGTAAAGCCGAAAGTGAGTTTCCTCTTTACTGAAAGGGATAGGTACTGTTTACAGACAAAAAAACTTTACAATTCGGCCCTTTGGCTATAAATCTAAATGACCTTAATTTATTACTTGAGAATGTTGACCGACTTTACAACAATTAATATTTATGACAACATCACTATTGATTCTCTAAATAGTATAATTTAGCACAATATAAAAACCCTATAATTTTTCCCACAACAAACGTTTATCAATGAATACCAAAAATATGACAATAACACAGACGCAAATTTTCCCGCTAATGAATATAAAAGTAATAAAGTGATACCTGTAACCAGTGTAACCCATCAATGTTAGTCTAAACTCTCCCCTCGAGTATATGAATATTAAATACTAGTTTTATTACTTTAATATTGCGATTATCGTTTTAATTCTACGTAAAAGAAACCTTACAGAAAAAAAGTATACCGCTTTTAAAAGCATCTACCTGGCGGAAGTTCGTCGGGTCAGCCTTAAGGGTTTCGAAATCCACTACGAACGTCGCCTAGAGTAGTACTTTTAATCATTTAGTAACACTTTATAATGTTGAATCGGAGATACAAAATATTTGACGTTTAACTATACTAGCGTGGTCTCACCAGTATCAGTTACGCCAATATTTTAGTCGCTCGGTAGATACAACCTTACAAAACAGTTATAGGAGCGAAATCTGGTTCTATTCAACGTGTATCTACTTGGTAAACCTGACTATATATCTCCTTTTACTTATATATAAAATATAAGAAAAAGGTGGTCATCCTAAGGACAACTGGATATCTATGCAGAAGCCGTCATTTATAGAAACTAATTTCACTACTCCGTCGATATCTTTTATTTCCGTTCTCAAAATATAACAAAAGAGCGGCCACCGTAAGGGTAGCGATAGCTCTTTTTAATAATTATATTTGAAGAAGCGGTAACGTGAATATTTGCGTTTTTTGTTAACTTGGCTCGGTGAAGATGAAAAAGCTAATTCCCAATCCACAAAAACCCTGGTATTTATACTTAAATTTCCCATATATGCAAATGTATCGGAAAGAGAACGACTGTGAATTCAGTGCATAAAAACTATGAAGCCCTGTATTAATTCCTGAATATAGCCCTATCGGTTTACATCTGGTCTTTTAGCTAGCGGCCGTTACAGTTTACACGTCGATTTCTTTTCACAGAAGTAATTAAACGGCGCCTACGAGTCGGGAGATGCTGGGATGTTGTTTGAATTCGAAATAAAAATTTGATTATAATATGTAATATATAAGAATTATTTAAATTAATTATCAATCCCCGGTTGTCGGATTTCATTATGATCTTACCTACTTCGATAAAGTAGTCTATTTTCGCGTTTTTCCATATAACTAGAATGTACATATTGCCTGGATATTGCTTGCTCTAAAGATATTGCATAGATGTGGATTTAACACATCCTTACCCTTCCCCCGGGATTTGTACGGCTTGAATTTGTTGATGGCCCAACCAATCCAGTCTAGTTGAGTTGGTCTAATCTACTTTTGACTAGCTCCCTTGATCTCTTGAGTCTAGACCTGTTAGGATTGTTGAGAACGGAAAGTACACCTGAAATAGTATCTCTAGACTTTCCTCTAGTATCATAGTGTAGGTATCATCCTCTTTTTTGAGAGATACGA